CTATTATGCCAATGCATGCTTTCTTTCATACGTCTTTCATTCACTTGCTAGATCCATTTCGGGACCACATTCACTAATGAATCCATGGTTTTCTCATCCATTACATTCCTACCATCTCTCACAGCACACTCCATTGAGTCGCTCATATGTTGTACAATTCTATTCCATTTGTAATAGATCTATATTTACATAGGTTAACACAGATTTTGAATATATATGTATTGATATAATAAAGGAGCAATACTGTAAAAAAGAAATGACTGCAAGTATGCATAGGATGCTAATACCTAATGGATTCAGATTATTGTTATAAATGAGTATGCATGTAATGTTGTGTGAATTGTGTAGAAAGAACAAACCAGATAGATTGGGCATAGGTCAGTTGTAATTGAGTTGTAATAGTGAAAATAGGTGTGAGCATGTGATTGCGAGAAATTAATTAGATTTATACTTAATATTTGTGTTTGATCATCTTTTGTAATTAAATAAAGAATTGTTCTTATTGTTATTGATATTTCATCCACCACTAACACTTTGTACAATTGAGAAACGAGAAACGAATTTTATTGCGTCACGAACACTGCAACTCTCACGTTAGGAGTTTTGCGAGGTTGTAAAACCCGTTACGAGGATGCGACAGTATTACAGGGATGAGGCCTACTCTAAAGTAATTGAGCTAGCGGTTAGGCTAGAGTTAAACTAGAATTCTGTGAGATGGCGTGCGGTGAAGGGCACCGCAAAGCAAGAGTCAAAGTATTAAGAGTAGTAGAGGGGCGAATGGGTGTGCGGTCTTACTTCGAAGGGAATACATGCGAATGCTCGGGCCGCTTCTCGAAAATCGAGGAATAATAAACAGCGTCATCGGTTTCAACTCGGGCGTTCAGGGCGATATCTAGTAATATTTTAATTAAGTAAACCTGCTTGTTATTAAAAAGGAGTTGTTTATTAAACGCGAAGATCTCGGTCTGCATAGTATTAATCTAGCAAAAAATCCTACAGTTCCGATATGCGACTGTACCCTGGCGCTGAGTTTCATTATAGCGGGTTTGTATTGATTGCTTTAGATTTGAGGAAGAACTCCTGTCTCGGTGGTTTCATAAATTCGTATGTATGTATTCTGATTAGTTGATGCGAAATGTAAGTGGTGGATGCGTGTTTTCCTTTTAGTGTGAATAATATCGGATGTGTGTATTAACTTCGACGTCTTTTGATGGTTATGAATGTTTAAACAAATTGGATCTCTTTACCCATCGTCTTAATGGTAATTTATTGACCTTTGTTAATTGTGAGTGTCCGCCAGTCAAGGGACGCTAACAATAAGAAACCAGTCCCCTACTTAACTTGGGACGTTCGGTCCTAGGGACTCAACAAATTTGTTAGATGTATTATTATATTATAAATCAAATTATGTCTAAAAGGAAACACGATATAACAATTTTACTAATCATAAGATTGAACATTTACTACTAGTTACTACCGATATATAATAAATAGATAATAGGGATTTCATTATTTTATGATACTATCCAGTAATAGTTACTTCAGTGGTTCAGTATTATCCACTTGAGTATAGCATTTACTCAAAAATATGAGTAATGGGAATATCCGTTATAGTCCATTTTTCTTTATTTAACAGAAAGATGCCAGGAAAAGACGGGAAAAGAAACAGGACTGTAATTGCACTCTTCTGAAAGCCACGTTGTTTAATTATATCCTAACCTTATCTTACAAATCGAGACCTGGTATGTAAGTGAATAATGACTCTCGAGGGAGTAGCCATCTTTTATAATTGTCAATTGGCGCGTAATTGCACGAATGTATCTGATTATTGAGGATCAGATATACATGTACGTCAGAAATGACTCCATAATAGGCACTGTGAAAAATTCATGAATTCCTCACTTTTATGAATTTCATTTTACATAATATACATATATTATTCCATTTTAATCTAATCTGCCGAGTTTTACTCGGCTCCTTACCAAATTTAACCTAAACATTAAATTTCCTAACCTAAGCTAACCAATTTTAACCAAATTTAATAAAATTTATATGAGAGATAATTCCCAAAAAAATATTTGACACGTATTTTTTTTTCTTTTTTATTAGTCATCGACCATAGTAAAGGTGTGAAAACAGCTCCGGAAATAAGAGATTAAGAATATATTTTATGAAATATCTCATGAACCAAAAGATCTACAGCCAAATCCCCACCCCCCAAAAATATACCTTTTTAAACGTGGAATGCAGTTATTAAATTTTTAAGAATTAACTTCTTCGAATTTTTTTATTAATTTCTCATACCAAATCTTAACTTGCATTCATGTGAAGAAATATACGTAATCTATAAGTTAAAATAGGGGTTACGTGGTTTTACGATTTTTAATTTTAATCTGCAAATAATAATTATTACATAAGTAACTTTCACCCATACGTGCGATGCAAATAACTCCGAATCATATTCTAGGAGCATAGGAAACTTTCTTAACGTTTTAATTAATTGCTACTAATATAGGACACATCGTTGTTTGTTTTTCAGGTAGCCATAACGTGTACGGCATGAAGATTTGCTACGTGGAATCTGTTACAGGTATAAGAATCATAGACTTTCATATTCCATGTAGATCGTCGTTGAATGAATTACAGTTGTAATTTCTATATTTCTATTAAAATATTCCTGATAACGACATAAGTAACTGGTAAATACGCGAAGGAGATAAACGAGTCGAAAGTTGAGTAGTTTGAATTGTTTTGGACTGTTTACAGGCTGCATACCTGTGTCTCGGATGCGTCGTGTCTGTAAAAGATTGTAACGGGAAAAATGGTTGAAATCAAACAACAATGAGGTATCGAGTTTCATCCGACTAACAAGGAGAGTGCAAGTCCTTCGGGTCACCGATTTAATTGAAACTTTGTAAGTTTGTAGATTTCGTCATGCAGTTCAAGAATATATATCATTATAGCCGCCATTACTCAATGGTTTTTGAGATAAGTCGAATCAATGTCTTCCTAAAACTCCAACGAAGGGCTTTTTCACGCCGGAAGACAATGGACAGCGGTGAAAGTTGCCCACAATAATATTCAACAAGAACTTCTACTCTTAATTGCATTTTAAATTTGTTAATGGTATAAACGGGGTCTCGAGTTTTTCCGTGATGCGTGATTCATGGGGGGCTACGGAAAAGTGTCTCTTCGAACCCTTCAGTAAGGCTCCCTATAGACTCTATGACACCAGCCCATTGCATCATTCAGCCTAGCTTCGAGGAACAGTTTATCAATTTTCCTCGAAGCAAAAATAAATTCCGTTACAGCTATTTTGGTGACAAAATAAATTAAAAATAAAGATTCCTCTCACGCCATTTTTTCTTACTATTGCCGATATGAAATTTGATCTTTAATCAAGATGGTTAATTTTTCTTTAAATTCCAGAAGCGAACGTGTTAAACGCGAAATTGTGCATTTAACACTTTACCGACCGAAAGCCTATTAATCGGCTTTTGGTCGCCGATGCTTACCGACCGATAGCCTATTAACCCCTCGACTACGGCAGACTTTGATACGTAGTGGCCATACCATACGACAGGAATTGAGTTACGATGTGCGCCTTTTTTGTGAAAACAAGCGCCCTCCGTGTCAGAAAGCCAAACTACGCCGAGCGCTTATAGACGCCCTCCGTGTCACAAACGCAAAATTTCTAAGCGCCTATAGACGTCCTGTGTGTCACAAACGCAAAATTTCTAAGCACCTATAGACGCTTTCAGTGTCACAAACGCAAAATTTCTAAGCGTCTATAGGAGCCGTTTGTGTAACAAACGCAAAATTTCTAAGCGCCTATAGACGTCCTGTGTGTCACAAACGCAAAATTTCTAAGCGCCTATAGACGCTCTCCGTGTCACAAACGCAAAATTTCTAAGCGTCTATAGGCTCTCTCCTTCAGTGTCACAAACGCAAAATTTCTAAGCGTCTATAGGAGCCGTTTGTGTAACAAACGCAAAATTTCTAAGCGCCTATAGACGTCCTGTGTGTCACAAACGCAAAATTTCTAAGCATCTATAGGCGCCGTTTGCGTCACAAACGCAAAATTTCTAAGCGCCTATAGCCGTCCTGTATGTCACAAACGCAAAATTTCTAAGCGCCTATAGCCGTCCTGTGTGTCATAAACACAAAATTTCTAAGCGCCTATAGCCGTCCTGTGTGTCACAAACGCAAAATTTCTAAGCGTCTATAGGCGCCGTTTGTGTCACAAACGCAAAATTACTAAGCGCCTATAACCGTCCTGTATGTCACAAACGCAAAATTTCTAAGCGTCTATAGGCGCCGTTTGTGTCACAAACGCAAAATTCCTAAGCGCCTATAGTCGCCCTCCGTGTCAGAAACGCAAAATTTTTAATCATCTATTAGCGTCCACAGTAGCTAAGGGGTTAATCATCTTTTGGTCGCCGATGCTCACCGATCGATATCCTATTAATCGGCTTCGAGGTACGTTGCTCAATTACGTTAGTTGCGTTGCTTTGTAAGCTCCCACATTTTTGCGGCTCTAGGACTGCAATGTCCCAGGTCAAGTGGTGGACTGTTCTATGTCCTTAGTATCAGCGTCCCTTGAATTCTGTATACTCATTGTCACCTAAGCCACCACTTGGGTAAACCGTGACAAGGACCAATAAATTACCCTTTAAAACGACAGGCATAAGGACCCAGATTGTTTACACAACCACCACCACCGAAAGACGCTGAAGCTAGCACACACCCCTAATATTATACCAACCAATCAGCAGACGGATGAACTTTATAAAACCACCGACAAGGCATTCACGAAAGAAGATTCTTCCTAAAAACTCCATCACGACCACACCATCATCATCGAGACCCACCAACAACTCAGCGCAGGAAACAGTTTGCTATAGAACTCTCTGCAGTTCAACAATAACCAGGCCTACCTCTGTCAGTGTTCGGGACGCAACACACATTTTCATACCGTTTTAAGAAATTTACCCTTCGCGATGAAAGAAAAAAATGGGCTTGGAGAGTTTTATTTAGACGATTTATCAGATTGTCCTGACACTTATCCAGGAAGTGATAGTGGTGATGAAAGTGATGTCAGCGAAATAATAATTCAGAAGCAAGATTCTGCATTGCCACTGATATATAGTGATTCAGAAGACGACGAAATAAGTAACATCGAAGACGATGCAAATAACGTTGAAGATGATGATATATGGTCGACGAACGACGAAGCAGTAATTTTGGAACCTTTCGAAGGCAGCCCAGGCATAAAAATTATGCCAAGTTCTCAAGAAAATGTGATGGATAGTGTAAATTTATTTCTCGGAATTGACTTTTTCGAGCACTTGGTGAGGGAATCCAACAGGTATCATTACCAGGTCATGGAAAAATATAAAACTCCATCAAGAACGAAAAAATGGACAGATATAACGGTACCGGAAATGAAGAAATTTTTAGGGCTAATAGTTCTAATGAGTCAGGTAAAAAAAGACGCTCTCTACGACTATTGGTCCACTGATCGAAGTATAGAAACGCCATTCTTCTCGCAAGTCATGAGCAGAAACAGGTTTGTGCAAATAATGCAGAGCTGGCATTTTTGCAACAATGACAACATTCCGCACAATGCACATAGGCTTGCTAAAATCCAGCCTGTCATTCATTATTTACAGCGAAAATTTAACGACGTATATAAACCTAGTCAACAATTATCTTTGGATGAGTGCATAATTCCGTGGAGAGGTAGACTATCGATTAAAACGTATAATCCCGCAAAAATTACAAAATACGGAATACTTGTGAGAGTGCTGTGTGAAGCTGTCACAGGTTACGTATGCAATTTTCACGTGTATGCTGCTGATGGCGAAAAATTAGAAGATACTGTTTTAACGGTCATTGAACCATATAAGAACATGTGGCACCACGTTTATCAAGACAATTACTATAACAGTGTGAAAATGGCTAAAATTCTGCTGAAAAATAAAGTGCGACTGTGCGGAACCATTCGGAAAAATAGAGGTCTTCCTCGATCGCTCCAAACATTACGACTTTCGAGAGGTCAGTATGAATTTCGCAGGAATCAGCAAATTTTGTTACAAGTATGGAATAATGGCAAAAGAAATGTCAATATGATTTCAACTATACATTCTGCACAATTAACGGAATCCAGCAGCAGAAGTAAAAGATCACATGTCCCAATACAAAAACCTAATTCCATCGTACATTACAAGAAATATATGAAGGGCGTAGATCGCGCGTACCAATATCTAGCATATTATTCCATTTTCAGAAAAACAAAAAAATGGACTAAACGGGTTGTAATGTTTCTCATCAACTGTGCACTTTTTAATTCATTTAGAGCATGCATAGTTCTAAACGGAAAAAGTATTACGTACAAGGATTTCCTGCACAAAGTGGCAGTTTCGTGGATACAAGATAATGAAACTAATTGTATGGAAGAAGATGATGATCTACCTAGTCCTGCACCCACAAGGAGAGCACCCAAATTAGACCATCCCGGAAGGCTGTCGAATTTCGGAAAACATAAACTTGTAAATATAGTGACCAGCGGTCGAAGTGTGAAACCGCAAAGACAATGCAGAGTTTGTGCTGTTCAAAAAAAAAGAAGTAGAACATGTTTTGTTTGCAAATTTTGCAATGTTCCATTACATAAAGGCGACTGTTTTGAACGATATCATACCTTGAAAAAATATTAATTATTTATTATTTCAAGTATGTCAATATATAGATTATGGTATGTCGTGTAATTATTAAACTAAAAACCGTTGCAATAGATAAAATAAATAGAATTTAGCATTAATATCACGAAAATAAAACATTTTGTTAAATCTAATTATCCTATAATAACAGAAAGCGGACAGTTTTATCTGAGCATACGAAACGCACAGATACTCTCGTGCGACAGTCTGAACCGAAACAGAGCCGGCACCAGGGAGAAACTGCGGCTGAGCGCCCGGTCGGACGTACTATGCGTGGATGAAAAGAAGTCATCTCGTTCGGTTGCGGAGCGGGAGGTGTATTCCACTAGTAATACCCACTCTTCTATGACATCTCAAAACTACTATCACCAAGTTCGGAAACGTGATACGTTAACATAGGCGTAAGATATCCGTAAAATTTTTATACTCGAATAATAGAAGATGGAGTTGAAGACCTAGGATTGGAAATACAAAGCAGTGAGTCGGATAAGGAGTCAGATGACAATAGCTCAGAAGATGTATAAGGTAAAGGAGTACAAAAGTAATAATAATTAATATCATTTATGAAAATTGATTTAAAATTTAAGATGTATTTTTTATGATAAATTAATTATGTAATTGCATCATACTAGATAACCGTTTGAAAAAATCATACGATACAACATAAATATAAAAAATATGTGTATAGTACATGTGTATAGTGTGCTGCATAATGCAATGAAAAGTTAATCGAGATGCTAATTAGTAATTAGTAATTGCAAATAATCATGTGTTCATCAGAAGAATCTGAAGTTAATATGCTTTTGGAATGAGTCTAAGCTTTTGCATCTATTTGTGCGTCTGTCTCACTTTGTCTCGTTGCTTCGTTCGCTTTCTTTGTCACGTGGTGTTCTATGACCGGGCTAATAGGAAGGGATCAGTTCTACCAATAAGGGAAGCGCTTTACTCTACTTCTGCCATGACGTTAGAATGGTTGGGTTGGTGGGGATTCGGTCCTACAAGTTTCTCAGATGACTTCTTACGTACGTATGCCGTTGAAGCGCTAGTGGTCGGTAAAGCGTTAAAATGGAAACAATATACTTTAATTATTTATTATAGAACATCAATGTTGAAATTTTTATAACATATTTATGTATATGAGCAGGACTATTCTTAAAATATATGTAAACTCACACAGTCTCTACTACGCTGGAGGGTACTTCGGTTCTAACTTCCCCAGATTAAGGACTGAACTTGACTCAATCTCAACTCTAACTAACGAATTGCAAAGACATTTTTATGCAAAAATACAATTTTTAACATTAAACGGAAATAAGAAAATTAAGAGAATTGACCTCCGCACGCGTGTCTCGTGGCAGTTCATTGACGACTCTCGACTGAGTAAGAGATTGACGGGTGACGAATAAACTTTTTGAGACCAAAAGACCTTTTATTAATTTTAACCCAAATCCCTTCGCTTCCCTGAACCACGCCTCCTTACATAATGTAGATAAAAAATTGCGAAATTAGGATTATTTATTAGTTTTAATAAGTTAGAGATATCTGTTAGAAAATACAATGATATAACAGAAAAATAGAATTAAGCATAAAAATGGACAAAAAATTTTAAATAAAGTAACTGAAGTAATTTTCTATTTCCGACGAAAATATAATGACGTATATTTCTAAGTGTGCTATAGTAGATATTCCACTTATACGTTTATCTTATAATCCAAATATTAATGCAGCCAAACATGCAGGGTTAGCCATAATAGTCACAGATGACAGATATAGATATAGATGACAGATATAGTCACGACTTCCCTTCCACTTGCGATAATTTGAGAAATATCGTTTTAAATAAAAATTATTTATTTTTTTATAGGATATGAATTGCTATGTAGGAATTTTCAAAAAATTTTTGTTTTTATAATAATTAACCAGGACTATGGAGCATGATATTGTACTATTTTGGATACTATTTATCCATTTTTAACGTTACTACACGACTTTAAAAAAGTCGAGTTCAAAATTACGTAATACTATAATCCTTTTTAATAAATTACATATTCATTATAATTGAACGGTGAATGATACGATGAAATCTCTCTAGTATACTCTTAAGTTGAGCAAAGTTTCAAATTTTTTTCCACTCTTTTTTTAGTTATTGTTCCATCGCGAAACAAAGACAGGCTCGAAAGACTCCGTTGCAGTATTCCAACGGTCAAATATGAAACGCTCGAATGACAACAACGGAATATTTTAACGTACCGTATCGTCGTTGTGTATCGTTACAAAACTTCTTGTTTATTATTTCGATTGGTCCCAAGCACACGAAGCAATACGACCCTAATTCAATAAAGTTTAGGCGACGGCACTTTTGGTGTTAACCAAAAAGCGCCACGTCGGTTTCACGTGTCGTTCCGTTCACGCCACAGTTAGCCGCCAGCGGACCCATCTGAGCCATACGGATCGGCGAGACTCGAATGGAAAGTCTAACGTTGATCCCTAGGGACAACGTGTTAAGAAAGGTCCTGCAGAGAGTTAGCATAAGTCCGCATGCGTGGTACTTTTAGATCTTGGCGGGCTAAAGGGCCATAAACGCATATATTTCCAGAAGCGATCATTCTCGATGAGATTGCCAATGCGCAGATGATCTTCATACACGTCACCTTAAGGGTACCTCTACCACGGTCTTCGGTGAGGAATTTTTACGGTGACACTGATTCGCAGACCACGAAAACGCTCTTAATCCCATTTAATCAATCAAGTTAACCCTTCAACGAACTACGATTTCCGAATTTCGAAAGTCAAGAGTCAATCGTTCTTTCATCTTTTGACTTTAATGTTCAAGTCGGACTCTAGTCATTTATACGTATTTCCACTCGTTGCTGAAAATTAATTTGACGGGTAACACTGACAAAGCGCAACGTGGCAAGTTTACGACCTGCTATAATTCATCGAAGAATTCAAACGCGACGCGACAGTTTCTCTCTTGCTATTTGGCCAATGACAGTGACAAAGATCATCGGCGAGTCGTAGCGAGACCGAATGAGATAGGATATGGCAGCACCGGCGTTAGCTTTTTGTTTCTTAATAGCTAACATTAAATTTCGAATAGTCAACGGCAAATGTTGTATTTACGTACAATTTAGAATTTCTAGTGATAGTTTACTTGGCAAAGTGTCTCTGATACTGATCAAATATGAGTATTTCCGGTAAAACCCTTTATAATAAAGTTCGTAGTTTGCGTCCTGAACTCTCGAATCTAATAACACCGGAATTACTGGAGAAAATTTGCGATGAGCCTGTAGCACAACCATTTTTAAAATGGTTTTGTAAAAATGTAAATTATATCAATGTTGTGTCAGACGAAGATGTTCAAATGTAATATTGCCATTTATTACTTAATAAAAATAATATTTTAGTATTACGTTAATATTGATTTGTATATTATTGAAAATTTATATAAAAGATAAAATTTATATAATAGTTTAATAATAATAATAAATTTTCATAGTAATAATATTAAATTAGATGTATCATAAGCATACAAGAACATTCATTAATTATGCTTAAAATACTAAATATTATTAATGTAGATTAAAAAATATAAGTTATTTGTATAATATATTGTAATTTTATTAATGAATAGTGTATTTTTGATAGAAAACATTGTAAAGAAAAACAGATAATAATAAAGTTTATATATTTCTTGTCAGAAATAAAATCTATTTCTTTCAAAATTTAATTTGACTAGTACGTAGACTAAAACATTTTTTTTATATAACTATAATATAATAAATATATGCCTTGCAATATTTAAGAAACTTTCTTTCCTAAACAAATTGGTTTATATGGACTAATAAATTTAATGGCTTATATTTCAGAATGAAACAACTACAAGATACAAACATGTGGCTAGAAGGTCATGAACTAGATCATGCATTGGAGGAAGCTACTAAAGATGCTCCAGATTTATTAAAAATTGTATCTTTTGATGACACAGATATTAATGATTTATTTGCAGAATTTGAAATACTGAAAGAATCACACAAAGAAGATGAAAATTATATTTACACGCTACAAAATGGGATACAAAATTTAAAGTAAAATGATTGTTATGAGTATTTTTATTCAGATAAATTTAATATTATCATACAAAGTGTTACACTGTTATAGGGAATTAGAGATTAAATTAGATGAAGATATAGAGAAAGAAGAAGAATGTCTAAATAGGGAAACTATTGAAGCAAATAAGGCATATGAAGATTGTTTTGAAATTTTGAGACAATTTGATATACGCAATCATGAATTTTTTAAAGAAGTCAAACATCTTTTGAATATTTATGCAGATGCAGCTGAAAATGTAAGTAATTTTCTAATTTTATCCATAATTTATATTAATAAAATTATTATTTTTATAGAAAGGAACACCATTATTATGGACTCAAATGCCATTAGAACTATTTATTAAAAAAATTGAACTATATAATCAATATTTACATGTCCATATAAAACGAGAGTTTGGAAGTGAACCTGAAAAAGAGCAATCGACAGATTCCGATTATATTTATTTAATGAGCAATAGTGGAAAAAAGAATTTAAATAATGAAGAGTTACAAGAACTAGCATTGTGTAAAACAAAGTAATTAAGTATTGATAACTATTAGTAAATGAGATATTATTATATCTATTAATTTAAAATGTACTTTATACTTTATTTTACAGCTTGACTAATGCGAAGATGGAGAAAATTTTGGCTAAAATAGAAGAAAAATCATGGAGTGCAGTGTTTAATTATATAAAAGATATATATAATTTAGGAAATTTAAAAGTACCATCACCGTTGGAATTAAGGTATCTTAAAGTTTGATGTACAATTATTTTTTTAATCATATTATGTAAGTATCAATTTTATATATTAAAATTAGCACAGAGATATTAACACTGACTAAAAAAAGAGATTTCTTGGAAGAAAATGTCAATTTGTTACAACAAAATCAATTAACAGAATT